CCCAAGTCTGTGGCTTCCCTTTTTACCCTGTTGGAGAAGTTTTTGGATGTGCATAGGGATTTGATTCTTAGAAGGTCCCATTCATCCATTTTATCTACTCCTGGTTGTAGAGAATTGATGCTTTTGAGTTGTGGTGTTGGAGAAGAGTTTTGCACATGCCATGGACCACCAAGAGAATAGGTCTTTTTAGAAGAGGGTGAAATAAAGTTTCTCCTTAGAGGCAAGTTGAAGCTCCATCTCATAGTTTGGCACATGGCCAAGAAGGACCAGTCCTTGGAAAAATGTCATCATGCTTGGAAGGGTGGAGGGATAGAGTGGGAGACAAAGACACTAGATGCAATATATTGACCCAATAACTGGGCTAGTAGGATTAAGTGTGCTGGAGTCAGTGAGATTGGCTCAGGTGAGAGCAGGATTCAGAGCTATTGTACATAGGGTCGCTATAAGTTGCAGGAAATTTGACGACATGTAACAAAAACATATCACTAATAACACATATGCTCATTTTTCTATTGTAGAATGTTCAAGACTCATATGCAGAACTACAACGGTGATGACCCGCTTGCTGTATGGGAAAGGTTGGCATATACTTTCCTATTTTTCCTTTAAACAACCTAGTGGTTGTTCTGAAAACTGAAATTACCATTACTATATTATAATTTAAATATTTTTTCAGTTATATTCAGTGGATAGAAGAGAATTTTCCTGAGAAAAAAGAATACTTGACAACGTTATTACAACATTTCATGAAGGAATTTATAGATACGACGAAATATCACAATGACCCAAGATTCATCAAGTACTGTTTAAAATTTGTAAGTTTATTTTCAGATTTATAATCATATCTGTAGTCATGTTGTCCTGTTGCTTCCCCCTACATGTGAGATAATTTTGAGATATATGTAATATTATATATGTATGTTGTTGTTGTTACGTGCTATCGAGTCACTTGCGACTCATAGTGACCCTATGTACAAGAGCTCTAAATGCTGTTCTATTCTGTGCCAACCTAGCCATCTCAAACGCTCTTATTCCCACTACTCCTGTCACAGAATCGATCCATCTCATCGAAGGTTTTCCTCTCCTTCACCACCCCTCAACTCTGCCAAACATGATGTCCCTCTCCAAGGACCAGTCCCTCCTTGCAACATGCCCAAAATATGTCAGATGAAGCTTCAGAATTCTTGACTCCAAGGAGCATTCCAGCTTCACCCTCTCCAGGACAAACCTGTTTGTTCTCCTAGCAGTCCATGGTATATTCAACACTCTTCTCCAGCACCACAGCTCAAAGGCATCAATTCTCTT